TGCGAGTGCACACTGTCACAAGTAATAATATGGAAGTATTCCAAATTCGTCTCCACAGGGACTAGTTTTTCTTTTGAAATTGAATTTGAAAACTGTTTGAATGAGAAATCAGGTTTGTGATAAAAATTGGTGAGATTGGTTGAACACAAAAATAATAGAAAAAAAATCAACCCCCTACTACTGTTTAGTTCTAAAATAATGAATTACACCTACCAAATGTGCCCGTAATTACGCTCAATTTATGCAAACTGGTTCAACTTCTATTCCATACCGCTTTTGGTTTGTTTAGAAGTTTAGGTTAGTGTTTAAATATGTCTATGCAACCCTAGAATCCTAAATAAATTAAATGTCAACTTACGTTTAACGGGTAAGAGAGCCTATGTCTAAGATCTTGTTTTAGTTCTTATTTCTAAGTAACTTCCCATTTTACCTTAACGAAATCTGTTTGACTCTAACCTTCTCAGAATTAAATTCAAACTAATGTGATTTAAACAAGTGGCTAACAAGAAAATCAACTGGATAAATTTTATCAATCAAGATAAGCAAAATGAGCGTAATACGCCGTGCTCACTGATAGATGTAATTTATAGTGATAAGAACTAAAACATTCATAAGAGGGTTGAAGAAACAATTTAGCTACTCATGGAAGTAAAATAAATGACAAAACAAGAGAAGGTAACAAAGTGATGCATTTTCATTAAAATGGAAAGGAAAGTACAAACTTAGAACAAATAGAATTGAAATAAAATAAACAAAGAATAATTGTAAAAACAATAGAGGAAGAATAAAACTTAAAGCTATAATTAAAACTTAAAAACTAAAGTTGACAAGAATTTAGAAAGGAAAAGCAAAAGCATGGAAAATGAGATGGGTAGAAGTGATGCTTGGAGGCTCCTTTTATAGGCCATGGAAGTAACAAGGATTTGAGAAATTCAAGGGAAGTTGGCAACCACTTGTTGTAGAGATATTAGGAGTAAAACCGAATCTTGGACCAATAATTTGGTCAAAAGTTATTATTCCTGTTTTGATAATCTAGGCATCGAATGTGGCTGAAGCATTGTGAAGTTGGAACTTTCAAAGCAATTTGGCTGGTGCATTCCTCTAGTAAGCTGGAAATTCTGGGCATACGATGTGTCTGACGCATTGTAATCATAAATCTTCACTTTTCCTTACAAAATAAGCATATTTACCCAAATTAGTCTTCATTTACCTATAACTGAATTCCAAAGTTCCTAATCACAAATTAGACACATTTTCCTTAAATTATATGCATGAACATACATTTTTCATCCCAAATAATCATCAATTAAGTGTGTAAACCTACACTTTTTAGCCTTTAATCAAGTCTTATCAATAATGTAACACGTGTTTCATACCATGTGTACAAAATATTAAGGTATGGTTTTGGACTCAAGTTAGATATTGAGAATATCTAAACTATTATTGATACAGTATTTAATTGAGACATAGGCTCTAATGAGAAAGAGTAACATACTCTAATATGTGTTTCATACCATGTGTGTAAAATATGACCATCAAAGGTAGCAGAAGTTAATTGATCTCTACTTTATTGTGTGAGACCTGTGAGATTAAGAAATCTCCATAAGTACCTTTATGACCTTTCTGACTAAAATTTTGAAGTTCTACTTGAATGCTAGTCTTCTTAGGGAGGTTTCAATGGTCATAAATGATTCGATCTAATGGAACTACTTAGAAAGTTGTTTTTTAATGAAATTTTTTTAGGAAATTGAAGATCATTTTTGTCACATTACAGTGTATTCACATATTGACCAATTATATTTTGTAATATATCTAATACATAAATAGATGAAATTAATATTTCAAATAGATCGTGAGTTGTGATAAATGTGACTAAATGACTCTAGGGCACTTCATACTGACTCTACTCAATTGTTTAAGTCATTTTACGTACTTAACGGTCGTAGACTGACTCGCTCTCGAAATTAAAGTATGACGAACACACGAC